CTTCTTCCTGCCTTCTGTGAGCTAAAAGAACAAGCCTAACCTTCCTTCCCCAAGACAGCCCTTCAAATACTCAACAAAGAGAGCTATTGTTCTTAAACGCACTCCCCCCACCCAAGTCTTCTTTTTCCCCAGGATAAATTTCTTTATTTCCTTCCAATGATCATCACATGGCATGATTTGGGACCCTTGACTATCTAGACTGCCCTTCTCTGGATACCCTCGGCCTGATCAATGTCCTTTCTAAAATGACCATGGTACTTAGATGTGACCTGAGCAGGGGGAAAGGTCAATGGAATTCTCACTTGCATTGTCCCAAATCCATATGCTGCTCTTAACATAGCCTGGTATTGCATTTGGGTTTTTTTGGCTGCGATATGACCCTGTTGACTCATATTGAGCTGGAAAATATTATATTTTCATCAATCCACAGAACAAGACAAAACAAACACGAAACACCCAGATATTTTTCAAGTGAACTTCTTTTCAGCCATGACTTCTTCAAGTTCCACTTGGGTAACTGATTTCTTGAGCTCTCATTTTGCACTCATGGTATATTTATCAGGGTCTACTTTGTAATATAGTTATTTGTTTACATGTCTTATCTCTCCTACTGCATCATAAACTCTTCAAATGCAAGAACTATTTGATATATCTTTGTATTTTCCTACTCTTCAAATGCAAGAATTATTTGACATATCTTTGTATTTTCCTCAGAGCTCGGCACAATGTTAAATGGCACAATGGTGAATAGATTGAATTTAATACCTCTGTCCTAAATTCCAGCTAAATTAGATGACTCAGTGCCCCATATTTCCCAAAGCTCTATATTTTCTCCCTTTCCTTTCTTTGCCCATCTTATTCCTTCTGTTTTGCATGTTTCCTCCCTGCAATGCATCTTTGCCTGCGGAAATTATCTTTAAAGGGCCCATTCCAAACGCTGTTTTATTGATCTCTCCAACCAGATGCTATTTTTCTTTCTGCTATACATTCACAGAACTTTGTATATCTCTTACTTACCACCTGAGACACAGTAAAATGATTTATGTATGCATCTTATCTCCCCTATTAGAGTGTAAACTCTTTGAAGGCATAACCATTTGCCAGGTAGGTTGTAGGGGACTTTATTCATTGGGCAAAGAGTTGGACCAGATGACTTCTTTTTTTCTTTCTTTCTGTTTTTTTTTAAAATTAATTTATTTATTTTAGTTTTCAACATTGACTTCCACAAGATTTTGAGTTCCAAATTTTCTCCCTATCTCTCCCTTCTCCCTACCCCAAGATGGTGTGCATTCTGAATACCCCTTCCCCTGATCTGCCCTCCCTTCTATCACCCCCCTTTCTCTTATCCACTTCCCCTTCTATTTTCCTGTAGGGTAGGATAAATTTCTATACCCCTTGTCCTGTTTATCTTATTTCTCAGTTGCATGTAAAAACAATTTTTAACATTTGTTTTTAAAACTTTGGGTTCCAAATTCTCTCCCTTTCTCACCTCCCCCCTTATTGAGAAGGTAAACAACTTGATACAGGTTATACATGTGTAGTCATGCTAAACACTTCAATAATAGCCATGTTGTGAAAAACTAACTATATTTCCCTTTATCCTATCCTACCCCCTCATTTATTGTATTCTCTCCTTTGACTCTGTCCCTCCTCAAAAGTGTTTGCTTCTGATTACCCCCTCCCCTAATCTGCCCTCTCTTCTATCATCCCCCATCTCTTATCCCCTTCCCCTCTATTTTCCTGTAGAGTAAGATAGATTTCCAAACCCAATTGAGTGTGTATGTTATTCCCTCCTTAAGCCAAATCCAGTGAAAGTGAGATTCACTCATTCCCTCTCACCTTCCCCCTTTCCCCTCCACTGTAAAAGCTTTTTCTTGTCTGTTTTATGTGAGATAGTTTATCCCATTCTACCTCTCCCTTTCTTCTTCTCCCACTACAATCCTCTGTAACTCCTTAATTTTACTTTTTTTTATATCACCACTTCATCTTCAACTCACCTGTGCCCTCCAACTATCCTAATGCTGAGAAAGGTCTTCTGAGTTACAAATATCACCTTTCCATGTAGGAATGTAAACACTTCAATTTAATTAAGTCTCTATGATTTCTCTTTCCTGTTTACCTTTTCATGCTTCTCTTGAGTCTTGTATTTGAACATCAAATTTTCTATTCAGCTCTGGTCTTTTCATCAAGAATGCTTGAGAGTCCTCTATTTCACCAAAAATCCATTTTTTTCCCATGAAGGATTATACTCAGTTTTATTGGGTAGATGATTCTTGGTTTTAATCCTAGCTGCTTTGGCCTCTAGAATATCATATTCTAAGACCTCTGATCCCTTAATGTAGAAGCTGCTAAATCTTGTGTTATCCTGATTGTATTTCCACAGTACTTGAATTGTTTCTTTCTGGCTGTTTGCAATATTTTCTCTTTGACCTGCGAACTCTGGAATTTGGCTACAATATTCCTAGGAGTTTTCCTTTGGGGATCTCTTTCAGAAGGTGATTGGTGGATTCTTTGAATTTCTATTTTACCCTCTGGTTCAAGTTTTCCTTGATAGTTTCTTGAAAGAGGCTCTCTAGGCTCTTTTTTTGATCAAGGCTTTCAGATAATCCAACGATTTTTAAGTTCTCTCCTGGATCTATTTTCCAGGTCAGTTGTTTTTCCAGCAAGATATTTTACATTGTCTTCTATTTTTTCATTCTTTTGGTTTTGTTTTATAGTTTCTTGATTTCTCATAAAGTCATTAGCTTCCATTTGCTCCATTCTAATTTTTAGGCAATTGTTTTCTTCTGTGAGCTTTTGGACTTCCTTTTCCATTTGGCCAATTCTGCTTTTTAAGGCTCCTCATTAGCTTTTTCTACCTCTTTTGCCATTTGGGTTAGTCTATTTTTTAAGGTGTTACTTTCTTCAGTATTTTTGGGGTCTCATTTAGCAAGCTGTTGACTTGTTTTTCATGATTTTCTTGCATCACTCTCATTTCTCTTCCCAGTTTTTCCTTTACTTCTCTTACTTGCTTCCCAAAATCTTTTTTGAATTCTTCCCTGACCTGGGACTGATTCATATTTTTCTTGGAGGCTTTGGATGTAGGAGCCTTGACTTTGTTGTCTTCTGGTTATATGTTTTGATCTTCTTTGTCAACAAAGTAAGATTCTATGGTCTGACTTTTTTTGCACACTGTTTGCTCATGTTCCCAGCCAATTACTTGAGTTTAAACTTTTTGTTAAGATAAGGTTCTGCTTCCAGTGTGGAGAATGTACTGTCCCAAGCTTCAGGGATTTTGTGCAGCTGCTTTCAGAGATACCTCTAGGCACCCGTAAATTTTCAGTTCTTCCAAGGTGGTATGATCAAAGGCGAGGTGTTTACTCCTTTCCTGGCCTGTGCTATTGTCTATGAGTTACAACAAGCACTCTTTTCTGCTTTGGAATTGTGAGGAGTATTCTCTCTGCACCACCACCATGAGCTCCACCATGCCAGTGCTCCTCCTTGCCCCAGGACCACCACCCAGAACTGTGACCCAGATCCAAACACAGGCAAAGCAAGAGAATCCTGTCTCAGCACCTGCAAAGAGATCCCTGTAGTCCCCCTCTGATCAGTGGCTTGATCTCCCCAACATCTGTGGGCTAAGAGCTCTGGAAGCAGCTGCTGCCTTGGGGCTGTGCCAGGACTGAGGCCAGACCACACTCCTCTCTCACCTGAAGTCCTGCAGACCTTTCCTACTGACCTTCTAAATTGTCTTTAGCATTTATAGGTTGAGAAGTCTGGAAACCACCAAATCTGCCTATGGTTCAGTCCCTTGAGGCCTGCTTTGGGTTTGCTGGGGGCTTGTCCTTGTCTAGCCACCCCACATTGAATTGCGTTCCTCTCCCAGCCCAGTGCAACAGACCTTTCCCATCAACCATCTGAGTCGTCTTGGGTTGGAAATTTGTTTCACTCTGTCTTTTTGTGGGTTCTGCTACTCTAGAATTTGTTTAGATCCATTTTTTTTTTTACAGGTATTTGAAGGGATTTGAGAGAGAGCTCAAGGAAGTCACTGCTTTTACTCTGCCATCTTGGCTCTGCCCCTCCAGATGACTTATAAGATTCCTCACAATACCAAATGTATTATTCTATTGCATACACACACACACACACACACACACACACAATATATATATATATACATATACATATATATGCAAATATATACATACTTAAATAGCCATAGATATATGTGTATATACATACATACATATTTATATTAGATATAGAAATTACATCATATATATCCTGCAAAAGACACGCATGATATCATATTCTATGCTATATATAGTCATGTCAGTCATGTCCAACTCTTCATGACCCCGTTTAGGGCTTTCTGGCAGAGATACTGGGGTGGTCTGCCATTTCTTCTCCAGGTCATTTTACAGATGAGGAAACTGAGACAAACAGGATTAAGTGACTTGGACAGGGCCACACAGCTTGTAAGTATCTGAAGATGGATTTGAACTCAGAAAGATGAGGCCTGGCTCATTATCCACTGTGCCACCTAGCTGCCCCTCAACCCTCCACTCATATATTTAGTATTTATATAGCTAGTGCTACATGTTTAACTGATGTTCAATAACTAACTGTTGGTTAAACAATTCTTTCCCTGATTTGGCTCATTATTTAAATTGACCAGATATATCCTTTATTTAATTTGGTTGATATGATTAAGCGGATGTTTTGGTGTTGTCCAGGCACAATTTCACAGTTATAGTTCTTATGATGGCAGAGTGGCAGGGAAATACTTTTGTGGAATTAAAGAACATTTAAATAAATAATTATTGAATTAAACACATGCATTCACTTCTAATGGGAACATATGCTTTTAGTAAAACCATGTGAAGATGTTTTCATGCATGGACATGTCTGACCAGAACTTTTTCTCCCAGCTAGTTCTCATATTGTAAAATAAAAAGAATCAGCTAATCAATCAACATAGTTATTGATCACCTGTATAATTTGTCATCCTATTTATTCACCTTTGTTGAATGGCTATTGCTGAAACATCTGGGGGAGAATCTGTGGGCCTAATGGACAAGAACCCAAAGAATTGGAGTCTTCAAGGCTGAAAGAAAAAAAAGGAGTCAGCTAACTGTCAGATGTACATACAAGGACCTTTCCTATAGCCCTCCCAGTGCCATGCACGTGGCATCTTATTTTATGTTTAAAATGCTGGTGAAATTATAATCTTGTTGTAATTCCATAGGAGGCTCATTCATCAACCTGGGGAGCACATGGAGTTGGCAGGTGGCCAATGCCTTCCCCCTCCTTCCTGGGTTACGCTGTCTCTGTGACTCAGCACAGATCAGACATTTTAATAGCTTTGGATCCAAAGTTTGAACTTGCCCCCAAATGAAAGTCTCCTGACTCTCTTCTCCACCTCCTCCACTCTCCTCCCTCTTTGCCCTCTGAGCCCCACATCCAATTTATCAGCTTGTCAATTTTAAACCAAACTTGGAGTCAGAGTTTCATTTACTCTTGGAAAAAGCTCAACTTCTTCCAAGAAAAGAAAAAAAAAGAGGGAGGGGGAAGGGTGTCTTTTTTTTTTTTTTAAATAAGCCCAGTCAAACAAAAATAGCTCATGGAAGAAACTTTACAGCACCAAGTACCTCTGAGAAAAACAGTATTTGTGATGCGTTAAGTGTGAGTGAATTAGAAACAGACTCTTCAAAATCTCCTAGGCATGCAACTGGGCTTACCAAGTGAGGCTGACATGTTTTTGATTCTGTGGAAATCATGGCATTCAACATGAAGTAGGGTGAGACCATGTCACCCTCCCCTCCCCGCCAATAAAAAATTATGCTCATTTGATTCTCTGGGTCTGGTTTCATTTATGGCCACTGGGCACATATAATTAATTCCTTATCAGTCTCTTCAAGCAGAAAGCCTCCTGATCTATCATTTTATACTTTTACAAATGTGATGTCTATTTCTAATTAGGCCTTTAGACTTGGTACCTCTGTTCCATTTCCATTTTGTAGAAAATCTTAGCAGGGGAATTTATTGAAGAACAGTGAGAGAAGGAAATGAGTGCATTTTCCATCTGGCACATATATTTACATATTGCTCTTCCTTTTAATCTATACCTCTTTTCCATCCGAACATATATATATATATATGTATATATATATATATATATGTATATATGTATATATGTACATATATACATATACACATACATACACACACACACACACACACATATATATATCCACAGTAGATGGAAGATAATTTCAGAGAAAAAACACTCCTGTGGCAGATGGCAATTGAGCTGATTCTTGAAGTAAGCCTTAGGGATTTCCTACAAGATGGAAATGGGAATAGATTGGGTTGAAGCAGTTATACTTAAGGTTAAAATGCCTACTTAGCACAGTAATGCATGTATGCATGCATGCATGTATGTATGTATATACGCACATACATATGTATAAAAACAAGCATGTATACATATGCACATACATATAAACATGCATGTATATATGTGTGTGTACACACATGTATTCATACACATATGCCTAGTGGCAACCAACTGGTTATTGCCAGTTGCCAAGTCTCTTAGGGATGGTGAGAAGGTCAATGATAAGGTGGCCTTCTCTGGCAAGAAGATATCTGAAAAGATCATCTGATTCAAACCACTGCCTCCTCTTTCTCTCTGTGCCCATGTGCACAAATGGGAAACGTACCAGGTCACGGTGTCAGCTTCCAACTCACAGGCTAGATCACGCTGGGGTTGGGAATAACTCCACTGGACCTTGAAATAGACACTTGGAAAGCAGGAGTTACCTTACTTGTTCCTTGATGATGAAAATGAAGCCCTCCCACTGGTAGTGGCAACAGCTGAATTCCCATATAGAGGAAATTGGCATTTCCTCTTTCCTTCTTCTGTTTTTCCCATATAAGACCTACTCAACTAACTGCTGGAGAGTCTGGGTAATTTTTATCATACTTCTAACCCCTCACCCCTCAGCTAAAAAAGCCAAGGACATCCTTTGGTGGGTTCTTTCCAAAAGACACATAATCGGCACTTAGTAGATGTCAATTGAATTTAATTGCATTGCATTTCAATGATAGGGTACAGGGGCTAGGAAATCATTTCCCTTCCTTTCCCCCCTTACTGTTGCCCCAGTGCCTGTTGGACCATGTTGGATCCCATGTGTTCCTTTCTCGTAAGCTTGGGCTCCTGAGGGCTGGGAAAGTAGAAGCTTTACTGTCTTCCAAGCACACAACCACACCTCAGCAGATCGCCCCATGTGCCCTCTCACAGTTACTGGCTCTCATAATTGATAGTGACTCACAGGAGACAGAAGCAGCAGCCTTCTTTAAACCACCCCCACAAGCTTTGCCCTCCAGGCTGCTGCCTGCCCTTTTCCCAGTAACGGATTTCTTCAACACCACCTTGGGCTTTGGGAATAGGCTTGCAAAAACATTGTCTGTATGTATGTGTATTAAACATTGTCCTCAATGCACTATAATCCCTGACATTTTCCCTAGTGGAATTGTGGGTATCATGCAATAAATTCTCTGTATGTATGTATGCGCCTGTGGTTTATATGAAGATAATTGGAGCTGAGATAATGCCTCTGGACCTCCTCAGTGTGTCTTTGCTTTTTTTTTGTTTTGTTTTAATAATCAAGTTATGGTTTCTCAAGTGAAACAGCCCCCTCACCTGCACACCAACTGAGAAAAGAGGCTATTGTAAATCAAACTGGATCTTGTTAATTAACCCACAGTAATCACTCTGTAATGACTGTAGTACTTATGTAGGGCTGGGCCCCCAAGCCTTCCTAAGAAAGTCCATGATCTCTACTATCAAGGGAGATAACATCATTCTGCCATTGAGGTCATGGGGAATTCTACTAAGATAAGATTGGTAAGTATTACCGAGAGTACTGAGGAAATGGGACATCAGATTTCAAGCTGGAAGGGACTTTACAGGCCTTCTAGTTCAACCCCTTTATTTGTATGTGTCTAAGGCCGCACAGGTAGGAAATAGCAGAAGCAGAGACCGTATGCAGGTTCTCCAACTCCGAACCCAGTCCCTTGTCTACCATTACATGAGAGAATTAACATGTAAAAGGGATACTCTAGCTTCTTATTCAAGGAAACCTATTTCATTTCAATGAAAAATCCTGGAGAAAAAAAAAATGGTCTCATGACCTATTACTTCATACTGCCACTCCTCAATGAGAAGCCATATTGCTAGACTGTGAGTCTTCTGAGGGCAGATACCACGTGGTGGCTGCCAGTTTAGTGTAGTGCTCAAAGATGTGGTTGTATGTACCCAATTTAGGCAGCCATGTGGTAAAGTGGATAGATGAGAGTGCTGGATCTGGAGTGGGGAACACCTGGATTCTAATTTTCCTCAGACGCTTACTGGCTGGTGATGCCATGGGTGAAAAATCTGCTTTGGTCTGCTTCAGTTTCCTTATCTGCAAAATGGGTATAATAACAGTGCCTCCATCTCAGGGTTGTTGTGAAAATTTTTGTTGTTCAGTTGTGTCTGACTCTCCATGACCTGAATTTTGGGATTCTCTTGGCAAAGATACTGGAGTGGTTTCCTATTTCCTTCTCCAGTTCATTTTACAGATAAAGGAACTGAGGCAAACAAGGTTAATTGACTTGCCCAAGGTCACACATCTAGGAAGTGTCTGAGTCCAGGTCTGAACCCATGAAGTTGAGTCTTCCTGATTCCAAGCTCAGTGCTCTATCCACTATGCTACCTAGCTGCCCCATTGTGCGAATAAAATAAGATAATATATATATAAAGCAACTTGCAAATTTTAAAGTACCATATAAATGCCAGCTATTGTTAGGAGTAATTATCAAAGTTAAAATTAATTGTGTACTTTTAAATATTATATAATTATTCAAATTAAAATGACATAATTAATAGTGAATAGCCAAAGTACTCTAGTTGAGGATGACTTTTAGACCTGTGCTACCAGTATCTATAGGAGTAGCTAGGTGGCACCGTGGTTAGAGTGTCTGGCCTGGAGTCAGGAGGACCTGAGTTCAAATCCGGCCTCAGACACCTGTCGTTTGTCCTTCGTTTTGAAGAGGACCAGTGATCTCACTGGGTGATGTCTTGACTTGCTCATGAATTGGATTTAACTGAGGCAGAGCTGCACAAAAGCATCAGCTTCACTCTCTCTTCCAGGGCAGGACAACAACTTAAGGTGACTGGTGATGACCCGGGATTCAGTGGGTGACCTTGGTGTCTTTGATGCCTAACTAACCTTTAAGCCTCCTTCGTGGCTGTTGGAACAAATCATTCTCATCTGCTCATTCTGCCAGAAGTCTTTACATGCTGGGAGTAGACGTTCCCTTTACTCCCTGAGGGGTTTGAGGCTTATCAGTTACCCACAATCAGGTTTAGTTGGTTTACCGGGATGGTTTACCCTGGTGTGGCTGCTGCACATCCTATAGCTTCTTAAAGCCACAGGTGAGAGACAAGTGGACACCAAAGGTAGATGAGTAGCCCTGAAAAAGGCTCTGCAAGCCCTAACACAGGAGGTGCTAGTCCTCCCTCAATGCCTTATACACCTGTCAGGCACATGCTAGCTGTGTGACCCTAGACAAGTCATTTAACTCACTTGCCTCAGTTCCCTCAAGTGCAAAATGAGCCGGAGAAGGAAATGGGAAACCGCTCCAATATCTTTGCCGAGAAAGCTCCGAATGGGCTCATGCAGAGTTGGGCATGACTGAAATGACTGAACAGCAATAACAGCAGCCAGTTTGTCTGCATTAACTGACTATAAAGGTGAATCATAACCTTGATCATACTCGGGCTGGTCAAATAATCCAAACTGACTAGGGATATGATATCTGAATTAAAAAAAAACCTCAAACATACTTTCTTAGAGACTTTCCCTTGACATTAGTACAACAGAGCCACCCAAAAATCTGTGACGGAAGAAGAAACAGTTGTGATTTCTCTGGGGGGTGGGGTGGGGTGACACCCGGAGAGGGCATATTGTTGGAGCAGAACTTAGTGAGTCCATGGGCAAAGCAAGGACTCAAACCCAGGGGTTCTGATTCTCAGTTCTTTTCTTATTCTGCCAGACTGACTCTAGTGGCACACATCTGGATGGTTGCCCATCACTCAGACAAAATCATCATCAGCAAATCATTCCTGAATGAATGTCAACTAGACATTCCACCCCCCCAAACCATCAGTCATCTAATAAGCACTATGTGCCAGGCATTATACTAAGTGTTAGGTATACAAAGACAAAGACAAAAATGAAATGGTTCCTGCCCATAAGGAGTTTGAATTCAATTGGAATAGATAGCCTGTATATAATAAATATATAGAAGGAAAATATAAAGTAAAAAAAGTATTGGAGGAGGACTGCTCTAGTAGCTGAGGGGGGGATCATGAAAGGTTCTATGTAGCAGGTGGTACCTGTATACAGTTTCTTTCTCCCAGGCATTTCACCAAAAAGGAGACCGGCTCCCTCTAAGTGAAAAAGACTCAGGGTTCTCACTTCAACCTAATATCAACTTAGCTCTGGAGGCTGGTGACTGGCAAGGGCATGAGGAAAAATTTCAGAAAGACATCAGAATCTGAATGCAAGAGAGGCCAAAGAAGAGCCATAACTGTCAGAAGTATTGCCTTATTGGGAGGTTGGGGAATGGATCAAATGATCCCTGGAAGTTCTCCTCAGTCTGAATAATCTCTGATTTAAAGGCCTAAATGATTGTGTTTAAAGGATTGAGAAGATATTATATGCCCTCTGCATGCAGCCACAAACAACACCCAAGGAATAACAGTCAGAGAAGGGACACGTGTCTTACAGGTTGGGCCCCAGAAATGTTGTGCATCTTGCTTAAGGAACTACAGTAATGAAGGACCTTTCTTGATTAGATCACCTTTCCAAGCCAAGTGGGTTGGAGCTCAACCAAGAAATGCTGTCAAATGCTTAAAAAGAAGAGGTCTTGCCTTCTTTTCCTTTCTCATCCTGGTCTATAGAGGACCGACTTGGGGGCAAGATTTTTATTATCCCTGACTATTTTTGTTTGGTAATGCAATTCTGGACAAGTCATAGATACTTGGAGATTCAGTTTCTTTTTCTATAGGTTGGAATGCAAGACCTACCCCACTCACCCAAAAGAAATAGTGTAAATGGCATTAACATTAATAGAGTGTAGGTCTGTCCAGAGGAAAAGCTTCATCTCCCCTCCACTCCTACACTACAACAATCTGCACCAGGATATCATTTCATTACTCACTGTTAAATGATTGATGGATGTAGTCTGGAATGGAGAAACAGGTACAGGACTTTGGTGGCTAAATCTTATCCTACTGTCTTCCTTCCCTGATGTAGACCCAGAGGAAAAGAGCTGAGATTGAAACAAGATGAATTTCAATAGATATCAGAAAAATCCTTCCAGTAGAATATAAGCTTCTTGAGGGCAGAGACTGTTTGCTTTTTATCTTTGTATTCATGGCACCAAGTACAGTGCCTTGTACATAGTAAATGGTTAATAATTGTGTGTCGAATTAAATTGAATCTTCAGGTTTTAAGGAAGAATGGGAGGGAGGGGGAGATATGGGAATAATTTACAGTTAGTGTACATTTTAAAGCATCTAGTTATTTCATTCCTTCCCTACAACCTCATGAGTCATATAGAGAAGCCTTCCTGGAATCCTCTAATGGATGAGAATCATCAGCCTTCTCCCAGGCTAGAAGATGCTTCATTTATAGGTCTATGACATTTATCTAACAAGATTATAGACT